AGCTATTTGAGTGCAGATAGGTATAGTAGAGGTTAGGAGCAATCAGACTTCAAATTGTCTTTGCTTTGGGATATAAGGGAAATGGGTATTATGGGATAATTAATACAGTTTTGAGTTTTAGGCTCCCCTTATGTGGATGCCTTCTAGAATAGTGGTCTCGCTTCAGCTCTATAATGATCGATATTCATCTGCTTAGATTCAGTAAAGGTAGTGAGACATGAAATAGAGGGGGCTGATTTTGAACACTGGGGCAAAATGCAAAGTGGTAAATAAACATTTACATTGCTTTGAGACATTGGCATTTAAATGATATCAATAAAACGTGTTGTGGCATAGCTCTGTGGGCTGTAGGCATTTGCTATCTTGGATATCTCCTCCTAATGCTGTTAGGTTAAAGAGATGTATATTATTGCTGTGGCTAATGCAATTAATTAATGCATATTAATGTGAATGGGGAGAGAAGAAAAATCTTTCTTGGAATTCCCGTTCCAGTCCTACTGTGAAAACAGGCACACCGATGGAAAGACATCTACTTACAGTAGTTGGGTTTTATCAGCCCAATGTGGCAGTGAGTAGTGAGTGGTTAGACGTTGTGAAAATTGGAAAGGGAGGCAAAAAAGCATTTTAAAATATGAAAACAGCACATTTTGGTTGTTCATGTTTACCATTTTGTACACTGTTCTGAAAGTTTCTTAAGGCGCACAAACTAAAATACTTAGTGAGCGTTCCTGATTATATTTTTTAAAGTTACAACTCAAATGACATACTATCTCCATCAAGCTTTTTATCAAATAAGTACTAACTATTTCCTCAGGATGCTTTGCTAAACCTATAATATAGCATTAGTCATGTTTTGTTACACAGTTCCCCCCCCCCCTTCAACCCCCACTTATCCTCAGGGGTATGTCCAATCCATCCCCAGTGGATTCCTGAAACCTCGGATAGTACTAAACCCTATTTATATTGTTTTCTCCAATACATACCTAGCTCTGATAAAGTTTAACTTATAAATCAGGCACAATAAAAAATTAACAATACCTAATAATAAAATAGAACAATTATAAGTGTACTACAACAAAAGTTATATGAATATGGTCGGTCTGTCTGTCTCTCTCTCAAAATACCTTATTGTACTGTACTCCCTTTTCTTTTTGTGATGATGTGAGATGATAAAATGCCGATGTGATGACATGGAGTAAGGTGAATGATGTAGGCGTTGTTGACATAGCATTCGGCTGCTGTTGACCATCTGGGGAAAGGTCAGAAGGAGGATCATCTGCTTCCAGACTGTTGTTGACTATGGGTAACTGAAACCACCGGAAGTGAAACCGTGAATAAGGGGAGAACTACAGTATTGTATCTCTCCCTGAGTTGTGAGATACTCATCTCAGTGTCTTTATAGCGATCTTATTCATAGGCATGATATAAAATGTAAACTAGATTAAACTCTACTCAAACATAATATGTGACTACTAATGGTTAGTGATACTGAAGTATCAGTCAGAAATCTAAATCGGGGGGGGGCGGGGGGCACCTGGGTGGCTTAGTTGCTTAAGTGTCTGACTTCGCTCAGGTCATGATCTCACGGTTTGTGAGTTCAAGCCCTGCGTTGGGCTCTGTGCTGACAGCTCGGAGCCTGGAGCCTGCTTCGGATTCTGTGTCTCCCTCTCTCTCTGCCCCTCGCCTGCTCACAGTCTGTCTCTCTCGTGTGTCTCTCAAACGTAAATAAACATTTTAAAAAATTAAGAAATCTAAATAGGTATTAGTTTTGTCAGAAATATGACATTGTCCCTCATGCTTTACTGTTCAGAGTGATAAGTTGTTCACCTTTTTGTAAAAAGTATTCCAGGGCCTTGTGCAGTTCAAAAACAAACAAACAAAACAAAACAAAAACTGAGGGAAAGGCAGAGATCCATCTAGTTTTAACTTTTAACTTGCAAGATGTTCCCTAAGTCTGTATGAGCCTTTAAAAGAAACACATAGACATGGGGATCTTTTGCTATGGTTCAAAGGCCACAGTGCCTAATCTGTGGCCTCTATCAGAGTGCTGTTTTCTGAATGAGAACCCACAACTACCATTTCTTCTTTTTCTAGTTTTTTAAGGTGAAAGTTTAGGTTATTGATTTGAGTTCTTTTTCTTTTATAATATAGGCATGTATACTGTAACATTTTCTCTTAGCACTGCTTTCATTGCCTCCCATAAGTTTTGGTATTGTGTTTTTGTTTTTTTTATCTCAAAATGTTTTCTTATTTTGATCATGATTTCTGCTTTGACCTGTTGGTTATTTATTTTAGTCTGTTGTTTAATTTCCAATATCTGTGAATTTTCCAAATATCCTTCTATTACTGATTTCTAATTTTATTCCATTGTGGTTAGAATACATATTTTGTATGATTTCAGTCCTTTTAAGGCTTGCCTTATGACCTGACATATGCCCTATTCTGGATAGCATCCCATGTGAACTTGAGAGTAATTCATGCTCTGCTGTTTTTGAGTGGGATATTCTATAGATGTCTGTTAGATTTAGTTGGTTTATATTGTTAATCTAATCCTTTTCTTTTGCCTGCCAAATCTGTAGAACCCCTGTAGTAATTTTTTCATTTCATTTATTGTACTTTTCAACTGCAGAATTTCTATTTTTTTAAAGTTTATTTATTTTGAGTGAGAGAGAGAGCACAAGCAGGGGATGGGCAGAGAGAGGAGAGAGAGAATCCCAAGTAGGCTCTGCACTGTCAGTATGGAGCCCCATGCTGGGTTTGAACACAGGAACGGTAAGATAACGACCCGAGTTTAAATCAGGAGTGGGATGCTTAACTGACTGACCCTCTATTTAAAAAAAAATTTTTTTTCTTTGAGAGAGAGAGCAAGAGTGTGAGCAGGGGAGAGGGGCAGAGGGAGAGAGAGAGAGAGAGAGAGAGAGAAAGAGAAAGAAAGCATCTTTAACAGGCTCCACGCTCAGCATGGAGCTTGATGCAAGGCTCAATCCCATGACCCTGGGATCATGACCTAAGCTGAAATCAAGAGTCAGAGGCTTAACTGATTTAGCCACCCAGGCACCCCCAGAATTTCTATTTTAAAAAATTCTGCCTTTTTACTTACATTATATTTTGTGAGGCATTGCAGTATTTTCCTTTAGTTCTTTAGATGTGGTTTCCTATAGTCCTTTGGACATATTTTAAATAGCTGAATTAAGGTCTTTGTCTTAAAAGTTCAATGACTGGGCCTTCTCACTAAGAGTTTCTGTTGATTGCTTTTTTCCTCCTGTATATGAGTCATACTTTCTTGTTACTTTGCGTGACATAAATTTGTTGAAAACAGGACACTTAAATAATATATTGTGGCAATTCTGAAAATCTGATTCTCCTCTCTTCCCAAAGTTGGTTGGTTGGCTGGTTGGTTGTGACTTTTCTGAATTAATTCTATAAAGTCTCTATTCTTTCTCCTCTGTGGCCACTGAAGTCTCTGCTTGGTTAGCTTAATGACCAATTAATGATTGGACACAGATTTCCTGAAAAGCCTAGAACCAATAAGTTTCACAGTCTTTGCTGAAGAACTCTATGTGGGTACTGGGGCATACCTTCAACACTCAGGCATTTGACAACTCTAAGTTAGCCTTTACTTCATGCTTGTACAGAGCTTCAAGGTCAGTCATAAATGAGAGCTTAGAGCCTTCTCAGGTCTTTTCTGAGCTTGTGCATAGCCCTACATGTGTACATAACCTTGTAGATTCCCAGGAATATGTAAGAGCCTTTCAAAGTCATCTATGTATATCTCATTCCCCAGGTTTTCCTTTTAAGCTAAAGTTAGCTGACTGTGTGCCCTGTTATCCATTCCTTCAGGCATATGCCATATTCAACAATTACCTTTAATTGTTTTCAACAAATGTCCCCAGAGAAAAGGCTTTATGCACTGGACAAGCCCCAATTTAAATCAAAGAAAGACATCCCTGTAAGTGGGGTCTTCCAGGAAACCATCAGGTAGTTGAAATAATGATAATTCTCCAGGAATGTGGTTTTGAAGGAGCTCCAAGCCCTTTCTGTTCCCTTTGATGGCTGTCAGGCTACTGTTTTTTACCATAGTTGTAGGATGTTGATTTTCAAGGATGCTGTGAAACTAAAGTAGGGGAAGAAGAATGGAAATAAGGGCACATTAAAACCCTGCAATGCTCCTTTTCTTACCAAGCTGTTTTTCTTGAATAAACACTATTTGGATTACTGCAAGGTTTAAATTAATTTCCAGAGCCCTGGAAAAGTTGATTTTGACTATTTTTGCAAGTTTTCTTGTTGCTTTTATGGAGAAGAGACTGTTTGGAGATCTTCACTCTGGTGTGTTTGCATCACTCTCATCCTTTCTTTTCTCCTCCTCTGAGAAGTTAACTATCTCTTTCTTCTCTTTTCTTTTTTTCCTCTTGAACTTAAGACACCTGAAACTATTCCATTTCTTCTGTTACCGTCCAACTTTATTCTTCTCAGTCAGTGGACAGAGGTGGTCTTCTGTGTTCTTGACAACTTCTGTTTTTAAACTTCTGTCTCTCCTATGAGTCTTCTTAAAGCTGTGAGAACAGTTCAGGATTAATAACTCATAAATTATCCTACCCCATAAAGGAGGTTGGGGGGAAAAAGTGATGTCAGTCAAATAGACTACTGCCAGCCAAAAAACTAACAATTTTCTTGGATTTTGAATAAATGACTAAAATATTAGATCAAAGAAAAATATAAAATAAATTTTAGAATTTTGAGAACACTTGTTTTTATGTTTATTTCTTTTGAGAGAACAAGAGTGGGGGAGGGGCAAAGAGAGACAGAGAGAGAGAGAATTCCAAGCAGGCTCAGCACTGTCAGTGCAGAGCCCGATGTGGGGCTCAAACTCGTAAACCATGAGATCATGACCTGAACCGAAGTTGGATACTTAACCAACTGAGCCACCCAGGCACCCAAGAAAGGGTTTTAAATTATCTGCTTCTATAACTTTTTCTTTTTGTTACTTTATCCCTTATCAGGATGCCCGACATGCAGCAGAAGGAGAAATATATACCAAACTTAATCAAAAAATTGATGAATTTGTTCAGCTTGCTGATTATGACTGGACAATGTCTGAGCCAGATGGAAGAGCTAGTGGTTATTTAATGGATCTTATTAATTTTTTAAGAAGCATCTTTCAAGTGTTTACTCATTTACCTGTAAGTATGAAAAATCCCAGAAAATTGTATTATAATTTTGCTTACTAAAATATATGTAGAATTTAATCTTAATTTGAGATTTACTGGCTCAAACCAACTTCATGGCTTGAATATTTTCTTTCCATTATTACATGTCTATTTGTGAGGAATTCTAATAACCTAGCCAATTGTTTGAAGTTTTAATTTATTTTACTTTCAGCCAAAATAACTACAACTTTGTTTCTACCAAAACCAAAACAAAACCCTGAAATTCGGTATAGACTTAAATTGAAATAAACTCTTTTTTTTCTCCAGTGTAATGAATTTTATTTTATTTTATTTATTTTTTGAACTTTAATGTATGCAAATTTTATTTTATTTTATTTTTTTTCAATATAAGAAATTTATTGTAAAATTGGTTTCCATACAACATCCAGTGCTCATCCCAAAAGGTGACCTCCTCAATACCCATCACCACCCTCCCCTCCCTCCCACCCCCCATCAACCCTCAGTTTTGTTTCCTCAGTTTTTTAGGAGTCTCTCTTATCACTTTGAAATCTCTCCCTCCTAACCTCTTTTTTTTTTCCTTCCCTCCCCCAAGGGTTTCTATTAAATTTCTCAGGATTCACATAAGAGTGAAAACATATGGTATCTGTCTTTCTCTGTATGGCTTATTTCATAACACTCTTGATTCCATCACGTTGTAAAGGGCCCATAGCTAAAATTTCTTTCTCATTGCCACGTAGTACTCCATTGTGTATATAAACCACAATTTCTTTATCCATTCATCCGTTGATGGACACTTAGGCTCTTTCCATAATTTGGCTATTGTTGAGAGTGCTGCTATAAACATTGGGATACAGGTACCCCTATGCATCAGTACTCCTATATCCCTTGGGTAAATTCCTAGCAGTGCTATTGCTGGGTCATAGGGTAGGTCTATTTTTAATTTTCTGAGGAACCTCCACACTGTTTTCCAGAGTGGCTGCACCAATTTGCATTCCCACCAACAGTGCAAGAGGGTTCCCGTTTCTCCACATCCTCTCCAGCATCTATAGTCTCCTGATTTGTTCATTTTGGCCACTCTGACTGGAGTGAGGTGATATCTGAGTGTGGTTTTGATTTGTATTTCCCTGATGAGGAGCGACGTTGAGCATCTTGAAATAAACTCTTAATAGGGGTAGTTCTCATTAAAGTCAATAGAATCAATGACTTTTCCAGTTAGAAAAGCCAAGAAATTATTAGGTGTTTTTAGGCCAGAGATGAGGAGTAAAGCTGGAACATTGTTCTATCCTGATACATAGTAATAATGCATCTACATTTTGAACAATCTATTGATGAAACATTAAAAATATATATATAAATTGCAGGGATGTTTGGGTTTGAATAGGCTGAAGCATTGGATTCTTCAGATGAGGAATGCAAAGACCAAAGAGGTTATCTTGGGATGAACATGCTTTTCATTAGGTGTATTAGAAATAATAGAACCATTAAAACATGAGTGGAGTAATTCTTTTACAAATAAAATAGAAAAAAAATTGTTGACCTTTTTATTTCACAATAAAATGTAGCTGAACACAAGAAAAAAACCCCACCTCGTAAGAAAGAAAGAAAGAAAGAAAGAAAGAAAGAAAGAAAGAAAGAAGAAAAAAGAAAGGAGGTGTAGCTGAACACAAAAATACTTAATCTCAAGCCTCCCCAACAGCCTCCGCCCATCTCTCCTGTTTAAAATGGAAAAAAAAAAAGTTATTCTCCTAATTTTTTTACTTTGCATTGCGAGTTGCTCCAGAGGGCCATTTAGAATAGTTGAAGGCAGGTGTTGCTAAAAAATAAATAGAAGAATTTCCTAAAGAGATTTTAATAGTGGGTCTGTGCCAAAGAGATTTTAGAAGCTTACCCAGGGATTATATTATATTCCTAACTGCTCTCTTTGTGTTGAAAAAGGGAACCTGTATATATGTTTAATTCTTGTTTCATCTAATTTCTAAGAAAATGTACCTCATGTAGTATATTTTAAATAATTGTTGAATTAATTTGAATTCACGTTGCCAGCATCCATCTCCATGTTTCTAGCTAAAAGCAGTGTACAAAAGTAAACAGATCTGTGTGCACGCACATGTACACAGATACATACACATCATATTTTTATGTTGCAATATCTTTCACAGCTTGGCACAGCATGATGGGTAGGAATTTTGTGCATAAATTGAGAAGATTAAGAGAGGTTATATGTTAGAAATGGTTGGGGCAAACATCTCACTTCAGGAGGCTAACATCTGGAGGGAAAGGCTGCTTTCTTGTACTGTAGTAACACTGAGAGAGACAGATCTTCTTGGACTAACTAGATCACTCATGTAATCTATTATGATATTTTGTATAGTTTTAGGGGATTCTTCATATGCCATTTTGGATTTTTATGTTATTTAACATCGGTTTTCCTGTAAAGGAAATAAGCTGCTATACAGTGCAGACCAACAAATACAATAATAAGTATAGGACATGATCAGATAAATAGAAAATTGTATTTCACAGCTAAGAAAAGAGAAAATGGATGTGACAACAGTATATGCTTATTCAAGCAATAAACTAGAAACATAATTCCGAAGCAAAAATATTAAATTATTTACTATAGTAAGTTTTAGCTAGAGTTGATAATTTTATTATTGCTTAGTATATTCTCTGAAATACTGAAATTGTATAAAATATTTGACTGTCTTGTTTTCTTTTAAGCAAAGATCAGAAGCAATATTATTAAATGTATTGTTTTTCTAAGCAACATAGTTACGTAAGCTACCATTTTTGTTTGAATGTTTTAGGCTGAAAAGAATTCCTTAGTTTCAGGTTACCCTTGGGCCCTGATAGAGGGAGAGGCCCATTCTGGACTCCTTCAATTCTCAAGCTTCAGAAGATTATTTATCACATTTAGTCCCAAATCAGTCAGCTTTAACAGAAGTAGCTATCCCACTCTCAGACATGGAGAGTTAAGTAGTGGCCATGTGCCCTAACTATCCTAGCTTGACATTGTTCAGGGTCAACGCAGTGAGTTAGAGTCAATGCGAGCTGTGAGACCAAGGATCACTCTTTCAGATGGTGCAAGTATGGCTATTAGTGCAAATAATTAGACACAAAAGTTGATGCTGTGGGATAAAGCTGATTCTTTGACTGCACAACCCTAAAAAATACCTAAGACAGAACACTTAGTTTAAAAGCTCCGCTTTTAGTGTCATTGTGTATTTAGTTTTTGTCAGTCCCTGCCATTGTTGTAAAAGAATATTTTCTCAATCACAGGTAATCATGATGTCCAGTTACTGACCACATTCCTGGGAAAGGTTCCAACGGTTCCAAAAAGTTATTATCCAACCAGTACAATTTTGTTGTCTGCTCACAAGATATGAGAACGATAGAAATTAATGGATAATAATGGTTTTGTTGGAGCCCAGGGAAAGAACTTTTTGTTATTTTCACTTTTTAACTACATTATGGTAGCAATAGGAAGGTGTAGGATTTGGAAGACCAGCAATAATATTCACTGTAGGCACTTCTTATTTCTAGGTTTGGATGAGTGAGAGAATTGGTATATTACTTCCCTTACCTATGTCTCTTCACTTGTACTGTTTCAGCCAGTACAGGTCTATGCAAGAGAGGGAAAAGTAAAGTAATTTAATATGCTTCCATATGAAAATACTTATTCATCAGCTCTCTGCTGACCATAGAAATTGACAACAAACTAAATAGGCAGTATTTGCAGTAATGACTAGTATTACCCCATTATCCAAAATGTTAAGCTGCCCTGTTAAATATATTATCTGCCTCAAGGGAAATTGCCTTTTTATGACTCAATTAAAACAAAACCCATTTATCTTTTATCATTCTTGGGGTCCAGGTTGCTGAAGTGAGGAGAGCATAGGATGGGCTCTAGAGTTAGCATGACTTCTGCTTGAACCTTAGATTTATAATTTACTATTTCCAGAATCCTGGCAAGTTGCTTAACCTCTAAACCTTTTACCTTCGCAAAATGGTATAATTCATTTTCCCATAGGACTGTCATAGATAGGATGAATTAAAATAGTATGTAAAAAAGTCGCCTGGCAGGGTTCTTGGCATAAAGTAAGTACTATTAATAATGTTAGTTTTGTCTTCTTTTTTCTTCCTCTGTTACTGTTTTAAGGCCCTTTGTAGTATTAGTTTCATTTTAATGTACTTTACTTTTTTGTGTGTTGTATTTATGCCTACATTTTTAGCTTGATATTATTTAGCTCTGAATTCTATACTTTTGCATTATATAGCCATTAAAAAATTTGATTGTGAAAGATATTCACTATAAAGTGTATTGATATGAATAAATAAGTATACATTGAGTGCACTGCTTATAATGACTAACAGATGCCAGTGAAGTCTCATTACTCTGTGAAGAAAATGTTACTTCATCCCTAGATTAATATTCTTGGAATCTAAAATTTAATCCCTAAAATAATATTAATATTCATAGTATTTCAGATATGTAAATAACCCTTATTTCTCATATTTTTTTCCTGACAATAGAAAATACATCTAAGTATAGAAGAAATAAAAATTACCTGTTATCTTGTCAAAGGATAACTACTGTTAACATTTTGGCATGTATTATACAAGTCATTTTCTTCTATGCAATTATGAGACTTAGTTTAAGTCTGATTTATAAGTAAGTTTTGTTTTTTTTAAGTAAGATTTTATATTAGCTAGAAAACTTAAAACCAAAGGAATTTTAAGAAGCTTTTAAATATTCATTCACCACTTACACATATGTAAATAGAAAAGGTTGTTAAGCAACTTGAACAAACGTAGTTACTGTTCATGAAGACTGCCAATGGAATTCACTAACATTTTACTGTGAGTGTACTACTGAAAAACCCAGCACTGGTCTGCTTCTAGAAAGAACAACAAACATTTACTTTCTTCATAAATGCTAATAGTCATGTGTTTGTTTCAATAAAGATAATTTTATGGATTTACAACCACTAAAGGATATGTATAAATGGTAA